TTCTTCTTTTTGCGGATACAGACTAACACGGCTGCTACTCTGAAACCTTGCAAGATGTTAAGCACCATCCCTATAAGAACCTCAAAAGTCTCAAAATTTGGTCTCAATTTGGATAAACATTAATTTCTTTCAGATGCTTAAGCAAAGCTTATCCAACAGTACTAATCAAGGAGTTCATGTATCTTTATTTAATTGGGGCCCACTTCTGCTGCTCTGTCCAAATGCAATATGCAAATACAGCTAAATAGGACTATTTTCAGAATAAGACATAGATCTCAGTATGAGTAAGGAAGGCAGAATGGGGGCCTAAGTTTCCAATAAAGTATAATACCTGGAGATCAATATTAAGACGAATTCAGCTGATTGTGATAGTGATCAAGGTCAATTACATTGTAGCTATGCCCTAATCATTTCCTTGTAGCCAGTAGTCTCTGACCTGAATTGTTTGGAACAGCTGATCTTCCCCTGAGTGACTTGTCTGGTTACATTTGTGGTATATGACCTACTTTTTATCACTTCCCTGGGTGAAACACAGTCATCTGAAGGCCCATAAAACCACTCAGAATCAGAACTCACTCCCAATAAAGCCCAATAATCAAATCAAAATAAAAAACATATTTGACAGGTGACTACAAAGAAAGTCTCAGGGGCCTTTGCTGCTATCTGTATACTGAACCAGACAGCAGCTCCTGTTTCTATGGTGCCAGAGGATGATGGATCATCAAAATGATAAAAATAATAATAATACTTTATATTACAATGTATTTCTAATCAGATATCTCAAACCACTTTATAGACATAAATTAATACACTAAATTAAATGGTTTACTGTTAGACCTCTTTAACAAGTGGGCAAACTGATTCACAAAAAAGGTTAAGTGACTTGTCACCTTAGAACACTACACTGTCTTATGGGCAAATGGGGCCTGTATCCTTCCTATTCACAGTTTAAATATAAAGGGTGAAATCCTAGCTCCATAGCAAAACTCCCATGGGGACAGGATTTTGCCTAGTTTAGTACAATACCACACCAATGTTGGAAAGAAGAGGTTGCAGCTTTATGTATGTAGTGTAGGGATAGAAGACGCAGTACTAATTACAAATACTATCTTGGATACTACAGCTGTCTACACCAATAGGAAGACTTTTCTAATGGAAAATAACACCCTCTACCCTTGAGAGCAGGAGGTTTCCACATGATGTAATAGCTGCCATTACCCCAAATTATGTTCACTAATTGCAACCCCTATCACTAGGTTCCTGGAAATTACCCTAACTGTAACCAGGTTTACAGACCTTTCTATATTGAGGCTCTTCTACTGATCAGCAAATAATGGCCAGATTCCATACTGTACTTTCTACCTGCAATCTGCAAACTATATCTGATTTCAAAGTCATATTCCAGCAGTTTTCTCACCAATCACAAGTGTATAGTGAAAAACAGAATCAGTAAACCTACACCCCTTAATCAAATAACTTCATAAGGTAGATAAAGGAGAATTTATTTCCTGTGAACACTGAAATATTAAGGGTGTTGGCACCTCCATTTTCCTTCTGTTGCCTTTTTGACTAATTTTCTTCCACCCAGTGTTATTTGAAGGGAAATGCCAACTTGAGCTAACAGCTTCAGGGACAGAGTTTAGGACATTTTACACAAAGAAGTTGGGGGAAAGGGGCGTCCCTCAGGGATTGGCTTTTGTGCCACTTAAGACTTGAGTGGCTGCCTTTTCATTCCGTTGATTTAATTTAATTAGCCTTTGTGAAGCAGAGTCTTAAAATTGCTGAACCAGAGCTTACAAGAATCCACTTGACAAAATGCAAGGCACAAAATCAAAAGCTAAGTTTTTGCAAAGTTCATTTGTGGACCAGCATGAAATACATGGAAAAGATCAAAAAGTCTTAGACATTTGTCAAAAATATGAGTCTTCGAAGACAGAGTAATTTAGCTTAACTCTAAAGAGAATTAGCAGACCCACAATAAAAAAAATTAAGCCTTGTCTCTAGTGCTTCTGTAAGATTTTTCAGATAATGTAATTTTGTAATTCAACAAAATACTGTATAGTATGTAAAATAAGACTTTCTGCCTGCCCAGTCTTTGAAAGGTTTATTCCCTGTTATCTTTGATTCTTTCTGAGAGAGATGGTTTTCCAACTATGGAATGTCTGTAGTGGTCACACTTAAAAGGTTCCTTCCATTTTGAAAGATGATATGCTTTCCAGACATATTTCCCATTTTAAACATATGCTACCCTTTGAAGAGATCCAGTGGCTTCCTCTTTCTCTGATTTTAGTTACTTGAATCTGTTTCAGTTACAAATAGAAATTCTATCTTTCAGATTCTGGCACATTTATTTCCTCGATATCTCCTGAAGGTTGCACCAGCAATGGATGGTCAATCAATGAAAAACAGCAGCAATTAGCTTTTCACCCCCTTCATTACCCTTTCTTCCTCTTCAGGTGAAGCAAACTGCAGACATTCTCAAAACCCTTTACCACTTCTCTTGAGACCCTTATTACAATGTTGTCTACAAGCTCAGGCTCTCCATAGTCCCAACAATTGACCCTGTTAGGAATCCTAGCCATATAACTACAACTGAGATAGTGGACTACTTCTGAGTATCTCACATTAATAACCCTATGGTAGTTTAGAGCCTTTAGTTTATGGACTTGCTAGGGAATACATAAAATAGTTTGTTAATGGATTTTAGTGCCCATTCTGCTCAGGCTAAATGTGAGTTTTGTCATTGGTTGCAATAGGAGCAGAGTCAGACTTTTAATTAACAAGTAATATTGTGTAACTAGTATTGTAAACTGTGACAAAAAATAATACCATATGCTGTACACAATGAAAAATGAGAAAATTATACATAAAACAATAGGTTAAAAATTCAGTTTTGCAGGGCTATATATGCAAACAGAACACAGGATCAAAGGAAAACACTGAGTCTCAAAACTACAATATATTCCAGTGCGATTTTTCAGAAAGCCCACTAATGCAGAACTTTTTGTTGTTGTTGTTCTACTAGACACAGGGCCAGCTCCAGGCACCAGCTTCACAAGCAGGGTGCTTGGGGCGGCCAAGGGAGAGGGGTGACACCTGCGGCAATTCGGGGGGCGGCAGGTCCCTCACTCCCTCTAGGAGCGAAGGACCTACCGCCGAACTGCCACCGCCGATCGCGGCTTTTTTTCCCCCCCCCAATTGCCACCGCTGGTCACGATTGCAATCGTGGCTTTTTTTTATTTTTATTTTTTTGCTTGGGGCAGCAGAAATGCTGGAGCTGGCCCTGACTAGACAGTTGGCCTAATTCTGACAGGGACTAAGTCCTATTGATGTTGGTTTGATTTGAAAGATCTCAGCACCTCTCAGGAGACCCTCTACATCTGGAAGAGCAGGGCCTGATCAGGATGCCCCATCTGATATCAATGACACTGTGACGTGCCAGTTGTATTGCCAACTATAGAAATGATACACTAGCTTTTAGATCTGTCCAAAAGGCATGTATCATGCTAACTAGGAAGGGTGGCATAATGACACGTCAGACCACCCATGCTCAGATATGTCAGAGCTTGGTCACTCACATAATCCCAACACCTTCTATTCAAGTCAAGTCTTTCTCAGGAACTCAAACCTCTTTACAAACATTTATAATTTAAGCCTCACCGCAGCGCTCTAAATTAGGGAATATAGGGAAAGAGGGGCACAGAGCAGTTAAATGAATTGCCCAGGGCTATACAGCAAGTCAGTAGCAGAGATAAGAAGAGACCCAAGGGTTGCAAATGAAGTGGAAATATTTAGTCTATTTTAAGTACTTGGCTTATAGGATGATTTGTACTGTTTTTAAATAGTTTTCCAAATGTTTCTTCCAAAATACCTCTTGATTTGTCTACATTGCCAGCTTGCTTATCAATTTCATCATCTATCAACCTTCTTATACCACACCCATCACCATGGGGTCTGTCAAGTTCCTTTCACTAACACTGGATGTAGAAGTACTAGAAAAGGGTATCAGCTTAGGCCAATATAGCAAATCTGTCTTTTTCTTACCTATGTTGGGTTCAGTTGCATCCTCCTCCTCTCTTCCTGGTGGTCAATTGCATTCTATACAAATGCTTTTGTGACACTGCTGAAAGGTTCTTTTTGGTGTGGTTTCATTTAGGAGACATTTCTATGTGTGCAGCCTACATCCTTCTAAGACTTGGATTGCAGTACCCAATGCCCTTTTGAGCGAAACAATTTTTTTTTAAATAAAATCCCACCCTATTAATGCAGGTTTTTTCTTTTCAAACTACTTGGCGATGGTACAGTTCCCTACTTCCTGTCTCCTTCGCCAGAAGCAACTGACTGCTGTGGAGCTTTTCTGTAAGCCTGGTTGCATTTTTAGTCTTTATTTTCTTTTTTTGCTGACGCTGTTCTTCCCTTTGACTGTGTTTTCTCTTACTCGCTGGCCTCTCAGCCTCCTTCAAGTCTGAAACTGCTGTCAAAACACACCACATCTGCCCCCTCCTGCCTGCTCCTCTTTGTTGTTATTATTATTCATATTTGGGTGGGGAAAACTCAGCCATTAAAACGTTGAGAGGAGCGGCATTCTCTGCTTGCCCCTCTCCATAATTTCTGCATTTTGAGCTAGTTCTCAGCTGTGTAAATTGGCAAGGCTCCATTGAAGTCACTTGAGCTGTGCCATCTTACATGCTACACTATCTGCCAGCCAGTATGGCTACAGTTGTATGTACAGAAAACAAAGCAAGTGGCCATGGGAGCTACACCAATTTACATCAGCTGAGGATCTGGTTCTTTGCTTTCCTTTCCCCAGCTGTAGCCACGCTAGCTTGCTCAATTGCTTGTATAAGCATTCAGTTCCATCTGAGTACTACTATTGCACTGTGATTTGCCTGAGATCCTACTTAAAACTTATTGTAACTCGAGCCTTAATAACTGGATAATACTGATAATAACATCATGGAGATTGCACATTTGGGGTAGAAGGGTCCCATAACATACAAACTATACATGCGGATAACATGACCCCCTATTGAAATGCAGCATGCATAGCAATACTACAGAGCAGGTTAGGATGCAAACTAAAGCGAAGTACACTGTCCAGTTGAAACCACAGTGGGAATTTTATATAGGTAGAATATAATTACCCAAGCTGGATTTCGGCCAGGACACAGGGAACACCCTGGTTCTCAGAAAAAGTGGGAGATGAAGATGTTACTACAGACATATATGATCATGTTTCTTGCTTCTTGTTTCTTGGAATTCCAAGTGGATCAAATGTTGTCTTTTAATTTCCTCTTTAACACTTATCTTTTTTATCTGCTGCTCTTTCTGTAGCCTTATCCTTTGTCATGTTCTGGTTCCTTTCATCTTATATTTCCTCCCCACATTTCACACATCCAGGGCACTCCTGATTAAAAGGAGAAACTTAGCTGTTTATATCCTGTTGAATAAAAATCTTTATATATATGGGCATGCACACATTTCAACATATGTGTATGCTATATACGCACACAGTTTGTACAATCTAAAGTATCAGATAAATGATTGCCATTTTTTCCTGATATTTACACAACTTTACTCCCCTTGCCAAGGTTGTCTTATTCAGCAATGAGGAAATTCACCCGTGGATGGAGCTCTCCAGGCTCCTTAAGGTCTGCATTAAAGACCAGCTCCTGGTCTCATTGAAATCAATGACAAAACTCCCTTCCATCAGATCAGGTTTCGTCCCTAGAAGATCAAAAGATGTTAGGGTTTTTTGAGCATCATTGGGGTGAATTTTACCCAGATTGAATATTGCCATAGAAATAGCACTAATACTTCCTGTCCACCACACTTTATTGACCAGATCTCAGCTGGGCCACTTTATGAGCTGGATCTGTCCTTCTAAGAATCTCTATAGCATAGGGGAATTTTCATCTGGTGAAGAACTGGTATTGGTTTCTCCTGCACAACACTCCATCCCTTCCCCTTCTCTCCCCTCCCCTCCCCCACATAATTGGTCCTCGCACAGGGCAGGGAGGGGACAAGGCCATATTATAATGTGCTCTAGATATGTGCAGCTGGCCTACAGTCTTTAGGGACCAGAGTCATTTGGCAAAATTTGGAGCAGTCTCCAGGCTTCTCTAACCTAAGGCTCAAGATGCCCCAAATCTGCCTTGAAAACTGGTTCCCTCAGAGTTCTCCTGTACCTCTCTAATCGTGGAGCAGCGTAACTCGGCCCACGTCTTCAAACATTAAATACTTAATATGGGAAACATTCGAAAGACAGTATGCTGTCTGACCCTTATCTCCCCACGTCAGTGTACTATACTCCACTTCTCTACTGAAATGCAATTTTCATTGTTTAGAAAAGCAAACAAACCCAAACAAAAGAAACAAAACAAAAAATCAAACGCCATTTTTTTCTTATTGCAAAGTTCACAAAAATTACACTAGGTGAAAAATGATTCCCTCCTCCTCTCCCAAGCTTGCAACATTGTTTCACTCACTTTCTGTGTGAAATGTTCCACCCAGCACCACTCTGTAATCAAAGACTGATGTAATATCAAGGCTCAATTAATTATGACATTACCTGGCCACACTGCAGAAGTTAGTGGGTGGAGAACCCCCTAACCCTCAATTTTGTATTGAAGTCTATCCTGATACACAGGTTCTCAGTTCAGATGCTGAGTGTATTTTTCATGAAAAGTTTCATTCAAACTTCATGTAACAGGAACCACATATTTAGATTTTAGATACAGTGCTAAAATGAATGTTTGCTTGTTCTAATATCATCATTGCCTTCTGATCTGCTGCCTTGAATCTGTTTGAGATTTTTGTAACATTCAAAATAGTGACACTGTCCCCTTCATTGCACTGATTTTGTTTCTGTTATTTGCTTTTCAATATCCATGAGTTCATAGTAAACTATCAATTAACTATGCAAATCAGGGGGAAAAGACATCGAGGGTTGTTATACCTAGAGTTAAAGCACACAAGCATGGAATGTATTAAAGTAATTCCAAATATATATCTATCAATCTATCATATGTAATGCAACAATCATGTACTCTTAGCTAATCTAAGAATTGTTTATTGAAAACTACAAAGCTTATTTTCATGTATGATAGTGGAGGATAATTATTATATTTGTATTGCAGTCATACCTCGCAGCTCGAGTTATGGGCCAGGAGAGAACCCCATTGTGCTAGGCACTGAACAAACACATAATTCCTAAGAGTGTATGTACATTCAAGTAGGGACCAACTTATTATTGTTTATCAATTAGCAAAAAAAGCCCACCACCACAACAACAAACCATTCATTCATTAGCCTAATGACAGAGGCCTACATTTAATAATAATAAACTTATATTTATGTAATAGATCAACAAGTGTTTTACCAACCATTGGTTGATCCAAAGCCTGTTGAAGTCCATGGAAAGGCACTGTCATGAATGTATACTTACTGTCATGTGGAATCCCTGATTTAAGTGATCATAGCAGGATCAGGAGTCATACACGAATCACTTCACATACCACTGAAATACTGTCACCTCTGATGTGCATTATAGCAGCTATTGTACAGCTTATACCAATAAATAATAATTAGTAATGATATTTTAATAACAGGAAATAAAGAATATTTTTCTAATTGAATTACTTGGAGGGTTTAGGTATATTTGACCTAAGACAATTATTATTATACTTTGCTGAGGATACCTATCGTAGCATCTCCACTCTTACAATAACATCTCTAGAGACCACAAGTTTTCAGGGTGTTGGTGTTGTCTGATCTAAAAGATTCCATATGAAGCAACAGCATGTCCTCAAACAGTGTGCTGGCTTAGTACTGACTCAGAGGGAACATTCCCATCTACCTGACTCACCAGCATTCAAGAATAGTGCCAACAATCAAGATATTAAACTGATCCTATCTCAACATGTGGAAAAAAAACAGCTTACTTCTTCAGAATGAAACGCTGAAGATGGCAAATACTGATTGAACCATTTTGCCACAGTCAGTAGAGAAAACAAAACGAGAAGAACAATTAAATGGCCAAGTTATTGAAGTTTGAAAAGTAGCTGTTGCATAAGCATCTAGTTTTCCCAATACTCTTTATTACACATTGTGTGTACTATACATTTCAGACGACACCATCTCAGTCATTTCCATCAAACTTTGCAAATGAGGAGAGAGTGATTTATTTCTTCCTATAGCTATCATTCCCATTAACATGTGGGTGCAAGATGTTATGTTGAGAATACAATATTATTTATTCACTTCTATTTTTATAAACTATCATAAACTAGACATATTTAGGAATAAGACTAATACATAGCCTTTTGTAAGTATTCTTTTTACTAGAGCTGGGAGGGAAACAGTATTCCTGTCCTGCATAAAGTTTCTCGTCTTGAATCAGAACAAATTTAAAAAAATATTAAATAAAAAAATGTTGAAATGGACTCTTCTGCAAGCAAAGTTTCAGTTTCAATGAACTGGCATTTTCTGATAGGAAAAAAACTAGGGCTGACAAGCGATTAAAAAAATTAATCACAATTAATCGCACTGTTAAATAATAATAATAGAATACTATTTATATAAATATTTTTGGATGTTTTCCACATTTTCCACATTTTCAAAATTATTGATTTCTATTACAACACAGAATACAAAGTGTACAGTGCTTACTTAATATTTATTTTTATTATAAATCTTTGCACTGTAAAAATAAAAGAAATAGTATTTTTCAATTCTCTTAATACAAGTACTGGAGTGCAATCTGTTTATCATGAAAGTTGAACTTACAAATGTAGAATCATGTACAAAAAATAACTGCATTCAAAAATAAAACAATGTAGAACTTTAGCGCCTACAAGTCCACTCAGTCCTACTTCTTGTTCAGCCAATCATTCAGACAAACAAGTTTGTTTACAGTTGCAGGAGATAATGCTGCCCACTTCTTGTATACAATGGCACCTGAAAGTGAGAATAGGCATTCACATGACACTGTTGTAGCCAATGTTTCAAGATATTTACATGCCAGATGCGCTAAAGATTCATATGTCCCTTCATGTTTCAACCACCATTCCAGAGGACATGTGTCCATGCTGATGATGGATTCTGCTGGATAATGATCCAAAGCAGTGCAGACCGATGCATGTTCAGTTTCATCATCTGAGTCATATGCCACCAGCAGAAGGTTGATTTTTTTTTTTTGGTGGTTCGGGTTCTGTAGTTTCTGCATCGGAGTGTTGCTCTTTTAAGACTTCTGAAAGCATGCTCCACACCCTGTCCTGATCAGATTTTGGAAGGCACTTCAGATTCTTAAACTTTGGGTCGAGTGCTGTAGCTATCTTTAGAAATCTCACATTGATACCTTCTTTGAGTTTTGTCAAATCTGCAGTGAAAGGGTTCTTAAAACGAACAACATGCTTGGTCATCATCTGAGACTGCTATACCATGAAATATATGGCAGAATGTGGGTAAAACACAGAGCAGGAGACCTACAATTCTCCCCACAAGGAGTTCAGTCACAAATTTAATTAACACATTTTTTTTTAATGAGAGTCATCAGCATAGAAACATGTCCTCTGGA